CGACGCCCAGCAGCGCGGCAAATTATGATCCTCTTGTCACATACCCGGTCGACATATCGTTGGGAAGCAAAATGCCACCCGTCGCCCGACTGCACCCGGATTTTACTTTCTTTCGACCATGACAGTATTAGCCGTCGTGCTTCCATGTTGCCAGGAATGTTGCGCCGTCCGAGAAATCGCTGTTAGATGATCCGGGAGGCGATTCTGGAAGCTGTGCTACCTTCAAAAAGTGAAAATTGGCAAGAACTCCGCTGAAGCTGACCAATTAGGCCCATGGGCACCCCTTAGGCCCATGCCGACCCCCACTGGCTGCTAGCTACTAGCTAGTAGCCACTATGCTATCTGAATGGTGAAAGTGAGTGATAAGATAAAAGAGCTGATATCTTTATGATAACGACGAGTGGAAATTCGTACAAAACGACTTCTCTTCATTGCATGCACGTACAAGTTGGGGTCGGCATGGAGTCCTATTTAGGGCATTTAGGACTGTTGTTTCTGCTTTCTTTTACTCATCATTAACCTAGCACTTTATCTTTCGTATTCGAGCTTCGTTACCCGCATTCTGTGGTCGCGTGCTTCGTCTTTAGAGACAAACATCACGATTGCATATTTGTGGGTAGTGGCGTTTAATAGGGAAGTTACGGTCGCTAAATGACTCTCAGAGAGAGAAAATTCAAAAAAAATCATGGAGAACACCGTGAGGACCCCCGGAAGCCTCACTGTACAGGTTACCGGGTCTGCTAGTTTTATGCCAGCAATGCGATATCCTGCCACCTCCGGCTCAGTAATCGGTTCTTCGCGTCATCCAGGGCTAACACCATCTAGCAATGGAAAGATTGAAAAGCATGGGGTAAAAACTGAACAGAGGGCATCAGAACTGCCACTTAGGAGAGACGCAGCATTCGCATTCGCTACTTCTGGAGGAGCAGCGGAAGTGGGACAGCCTCAGAGAACGAGGGTCAGACTATTCTACTACTCTAAAAAGGAGGAACCCCTACGAATTGCATGAGCGCGAGGACTCTCTTTGAGATACATGTTTTAGAAACTTCGTTACACCGCTCCCGGCACTGACCATGTAAAACACATCTCACTGCATTTACTCCAACGCTTGGTGCGAAAGGAACTTCCGTTTGCGAGCTGTAACCTTAAGGGGAGAAGGAGGTCCTGCAACGGTCCCGGTTACGGTAGCAGTGGTTCATAATTTGTCTGACCATGTATTGTTTTTCATGTACCTGGTTTTTGCTTGATTCTTGTATTTGTCTGCATGTAGTTCTGCATATCATTTCGAAATAGACCAAGCATATGGATGCTATATAGATTTATACGGCATTAATTAATTAATTAGTGAATTAATTAGGAGCGGAACTCGTGACAATGCAATGGTGGGGAACACGTAAGTATGAAGGAACGAAGTGAACGGGGTCAGCATTGGACGAGTTCGTTGGACCAAGATACGTCGCTCAACCGGACTCATACCGGGAATGATCAGAGAGGACATTTCAGTCGAGGAGAAGAAGGATAGAAACTCTGATTAAAAAAGCATATGTATATTAATTAACGAATCGTTGCATATATTAAGGCAAGTATTATATACTTCAAAGAACCACATATGTCCTATACGGTAATGAATACATTCATTTCAAAGTGTCGAGAAATGGAGACCCGTGAAAACACCGAAATGATCGGAATAGCAGCTCTGTGGTGCGGAGTGGTGAAGTGACAAGGATGACGAGGATTAGAATTTCGAGAATGGCAGGAAGACGTGACTCAACTCGTGCACGTAGTTGATGAACGATGGGATGCCTTGTCGAATAGAATTTCGTCCTGCAAAAACGAGAGCGTTTGGTTAATCGACAAGGAGAAAATATAAAGGGAATGTCTTACCAGGTGAGAGACCGAAGAATTCGTAGGCGTAAGTGAGGAAATCGTAGACAACCTGTAAAGCAACTTGTTACTCTATGTACAGAGAAAGACGTTGCTTATCAAAAGGAACTGTCAGGAGCAAGGTCTGAGACACCCTCAGGTCTATTCTACCCTGCCTCTCCTACCTTCTCCACTATCATTTATTATTATTAATGAGCCGATGGGGACGAGACTTTCGCTCGAAACTAAACATGGAATCGCTTGAGATTCCGCGGCGCACATGAGCTTGGAGGGGAGAGTGGGGCCACCTGTGAGTTTTTTTTTTATGTGTTTTCTTTTATTTTTTCATAATCGTATCTCATCCTGCAAGCCCTGCAGATTCATGTCAAGTACTCTGTAAACTTCTCTCAAGCTCGGCAAAATGGTACTAGCTAGGACCGCCATCTCTTTTTTCCAACTTTTGACCAGTCCTTTCAGCAAGTTTCTTTAAAGTCTACAGGGCAGAGTGCATTGACAGTTGGGGGGGGGGGTCAAGGCCGTACGGCCCCACCCTCTAGAACGTGGCTTAACTACAATCTGATACGTTGAGCTGTCGAGCGGTGGGGGAAGGGTTGTATGGAACATGTTAAACGAGAAAGAGCGCGAGGTAAAACACGATTCCTCCCCCACTGAAGTGTCCGTGGAACAAGAAAAATCAACCAATGCAAAAAATTTTCACACCTAATAGTCCGCCTCCCACATCGCCCAGATACGACCCTCCCACCTATTAGGGTATCACATACGAGTGATGTGCTCTGGCACAGGGTGCTTGACAAGTGACAGCAAGGCTTATAGGACGTTGACAAGGTTGTTCGGGACTCACATGTATAAATTAGGAGGATTTAATGTGCTGACAAGTGCTTGCGATGAACCCTCCCCCTCCCCCGCCCACTCAACATTATTAGCGCCGATTCCGCTACTGCAAGACATGGTTAGTATGGATTTGAAACGAGGACTTGTAGGTGCCTGTTGACTTATGAAAAGAGAAAGAAAGCAGAAAAGCGTGGGAAACAAGCCAAAGATTCCAGCTGATTCGCAACACTCAACAGTGTGATTGGAGACCTCTATTCCGATTCTAGGTTACAGCTCGCGGACGGGAAACTGAACAGCCGCCAGCTATAGACTCCGATAGGTAGGTAGTGTCGAATCTTGGTGGTGCAGTTAGGTTCAGAAAGTTGCGGTCAGAGTTGGAATCGCATCCTCTGGCGTCTTTTATCATGCAATTTTGAATGACGAAAGTGCATATTGTTCTAAAGCGCGACAAAGGACCTCTCCACATATAGGAGCGAGGATTATACTCCTGCAATCACGAATATGCCTTTAAGTCGTAGGGATGTTTGTGAGTAAGACTGTTTTAAATTACGGAGCATCCTAACGATATTGGCATGTGAACGTTTATGTCAGATATACGCATAGAATAAGCGAATTTTTTCACACATTTTTTCACACACGCACATTTCAGAGGGTGGGTGAAAGGGGCAACACCGAGAGTATCAGGAAAAATGAGCTTGGAGATGTTTGCCACATGATGATTTTCCAAGGACTAAGAACCTTCTCCAGAAGCTGAGAGATTACAGGAACCTCTTTTGAACAAATGTACGTGCAATCAATCAATACGCACCTTGTGCACAGTGTGACTTTCAACTTGCGAAAAGCACGACGATAGTACGCCATTGACGATCAACGCGCCCTCTGCCGTCATCGGCGAGTAGATGCCTTCAGAGACTTGCCTTCCGATCTGAAATGTGAGATAATTCTTTGGTGAGAATATGGAGGATCTTCCAGAAAAATCTTTTGCTTAAGGCAGGGCCTACATAAGAGAACGCTTTTATTTGATGATATATCTCTCAGTTGTACTGTAGTACTATTTCCAAAATAGCATCTTGAAACATAGCCCTCACATTTTTGAGACTAAATTTGTCCGTTATACTACAACTTCAGTCTTAGTCCACTCAAAATCCCGAAAATGGGGAGGGCGCGACCTCGTACTCCATCTGAGCAGAGCGTGCGATATGTTTTCGTGGCACATATCCAACTGAGACAATCGTCATGCTGTTTTGTGCTGAACAGAAGCATACCTATTGTCCCATAATAGCAATATACCATTACAAGCGCATCGCCGCCATGCTCAAATGACGCACGCGGCCACGCCCACTCCATGTGTGGGACATGGAGTGTATGATTGTATGATATGCGATCATATCGATTCATTGACCTCGCTGGATAATTTCCAACCATCTCAGAGGCGTATTTCTCAGATCGTAAACATTTCCCGGGATTGGTTAGGAAATTTTATCTACCTCCTTGAAATTCTGACCCGATTTTGGGAAAGTCGCGGCGAGTCTCGGCAAAAGCGGTATCCGTAAGAAGCCAGGCCTATAGGGTGGGATGCATGAGGTGATCCGTGTCAATTTTCACATAGCATTTTTGTGAACGAGATAGGTGCTCTTGATCGTCTGGATACAGCTTTTGGCTTCGCGACTTTTGTAAATACTGCATAGATAGGTTAAGTAGATGGTCACAGTCACGGCACTTTTTAGAAGCTCGTGTAGAGCCTCCATACCCTTCTGTGGGCCACATTCCTGTTGTTTAGAAGGTAATAGAATTCGTGGTACTGGCAGGTTCATATGATGACGAGGTGGCGGAAACATCTTCAAAGGATCCACACCGGCATTCTCAGTAGAACCGCACTGATTCTGTGCTACAGTATGTCCAGCCAACTTGAAGGTATCAGCTACTTTGATCACATCACCGCGAAGTGATTGTGTCACCCCGCTCCTCGGGGCTCGTTTCAGTCACTGTACACCCTTTCTAGCCCATTCTGTAGCTCATGAGCCCAATCTCCTTTTCTCACTCGTAGCCCAATCTCAAGTAATAGTATTTTCCAGCCAGGGAGGGGCTCTACGTAATGCGAGAATCGGTGAATTGCAAGTCTTTATATTTAATACTATAAGGAGTTCAAACCAACCTTGACTATCCTGTCGACGACTACTTCTCCATTGTTGGAAACTGTCAGTACGCAGTCACCAGCTGTCGCCTTATGAGCAAATTGTGAAGCTCGAAGCCATTTGTCCACTCCGTCCGCCTTTTCCAGATCCCTGTACAACGAAACCCATAAATTTCAATAAGAAATTAATAAAAAATAAATTAGTTGTTGAACTGAATTATAATTGAGAGTAGTAATACAAAGCGAGTTTTATTGCGATTTTGGTCACTCAAAGAAGGGGCCACGCCAGATCACTCGCTGGGGGATTGAACTGTGGAAAAAATTTCGTTTTTCGGGAAACTGCGGCCTCTCACGGGGAAAAAAGAAGGTATTCTACTGACTTCTGTCATCTTGAAGTCATTTTTGATGGCAAAAGAGTGAATCGGGCGCTTCATTTTTCATTCTTACTACAGCGCTAGAGTAGGCTAGCGAAATCTTCTGGAGATCTCATGTAACGACCTGCGGATAGAAATTCCAGGGCACAGAGGAGCAGGATGCGCTTTCTAACTTGTTTC